AACCCCTGATGTTCTGTTCAAAGCTTGGCTCTCTAGGCTGGAATTTCTGCTGTTCATAAGGCCCCTTCAAGGTGGCGACATTGCGACCTGGGAGGTACAAATAACTTCCATGGTACACATAAGTACGATGGCACCTAAATATGGGCGGTCGAGGTCCCTTTATCTGTATTCCGTCGCTACAGGCGGGAGAAGGTCCCCGGCGGGGCCCTTCCCCCCAGGGAAAGGGCCCCCGGAGGGTTGGTACCAAACCCGCACACGAAAATCGCTCCATATGAAAGCAAAAGGGTCGGCAGGAGATTCAACTTGCCCCCATGAAAAACCCGGGGCGCCACGAGTACACTGAAAAAAAACACAATAAGTGTTTGGGGCCCAAGAGTTCAATTGCCCCCCAGTATACATAAAGGGGGATTACCCCAATAGCCCCTAGTGTCTTCAGAAGGACTGGAAGGCACCCAAGTCATACCTGACAACGGGCTGTTGTTCGTACGTAAACTTGTGGCGGCCAGCAGTAACAGCCTGGGTTTATCAGACCCCGTCCACCATGAGCCTTGTCTCAGACGGGGCCCCAGGGGCGTTTACCCCGAAACCCTCTCCGGTAAACTACAAGTACATGTAAGGTTAAGGTTTGTGAATCAGTTTACATACTACTATAGAAAGCACTTGTTATGCTGAACATTTCGGGTAAAATTGGTCAGTTTTGTCCCAGGATGCGACCTACACCCGTGACTAAAAAACCCGGGTACCCCTTTATATGATGGGGCTGGAAGCAGATGTCTTAAGGAAAACGTCTATGTTTCCAGCCCTACCGGGGATTCGATCTCCGGGCCTTTGTGAGTGAGCTGAGTGCACTACTGAAAAGTTAGTGGCATTTTTTCTTATTTCCTTTATTTTTTTTTTTGGATGAATTAATATCTCCAAAAACGTGGGGAATTCAATTATAAATTTTTTTTAATAATCTTTTTTCTTTAATTTAGTCACCATAGTGGCAACGTTGCCCCCTTTTTATATACAAAAAGTAAAAAAACTTTTATCCCTTAAATTTTATCTACTTTTTAGTTTTTATGTGGATGCAAAATAAAATTTTTGGAACTCAAATTTAACTTAATAGTGTTGTAAATAGGAAAAATTTTTTTTAACTTAAGTAGTGTTTTTAAGTAGGAAGATTATATTTAACTTAAGTAGTGTATGTAAGTGGAAAAATTATATTTTAAATTAAGTGTGTTGTTTGAGGAAGAATTTTATTTAAAATTTGTAGTGTTGTAAGGAGGAAAAATTTTATTTAACTTAAGTAGTGTATGTAAGTAGGAAGAATTATATTTAACTTAAGTAGTGTATGTAAGTAGGAAGAATTATATTTAACTTAAGTAGTGTATGTAAGTAGGAAGAATTATATTTAACTTAAGTAGTGTATGTAAGTAGGGAAAAATTTTATTTAAATTTTAAATAGTGTATGTAGTAGGAAGAATTTTTATTTAAATTTTGTAGTGATGTAAATAGGAAGGGAATTTATTTAACTTAAATGTGTATGTAAAATAGGAAGAATTTTTTAACTTAAGTAGTGTATGTAAAGGGGGAAAAAAAATTTTTTTTTTTACTTAAGTAGTGTATGTAAATAGGAAGAATTTATTTAACTTAAGTAGTGTATGTAATAGGAAGAATTTTATTTACTTAATAGTGTAGTAATAGGGAAAAATTATATTTAACTTAAGTGTGTATGTAAATAGGAAGAAATTTTATTTAAATTAAGAGTGTTGTAAGGAGGGAAAAATTTATTTAAAATTAAGTAGGTATGAAGTAGGAAAAAATTATATTTAATAAAAGTAGTGTTGTAAGTGGAAAAATTTTAATTTAACTTAAGTAGTGTATGTAAGTAGGAAGAATTATATTTAACTTAAGTAGTGTATGTAAGTAGGAAGAATTATATTTAACTTAAGTAGTGTATGTAAGTAGGAAGAATTATATTTAACTTAAGTAGTGTAGTAGTAGGGAAAAATTATACTTTTGGGGGGGAAAAATTTTACCCGCAGTTTGCGAGGGGCACTGAGCGTCATCTCCCGTCTATCAAAATTCCTGTGGAGAAAGAAAGGACTTTAAATTCCCCTTTTTATGTGTTTGATCCCCCGGTTGATGAATGTTTTTAAATTTTCAGTTAATGAAGGACTAATTTTTCTTTCAAGTGCTACCCAGCCATGCATCAAGAGTATAAAAAGGGTAGTGTCCATATGGTTCTGAGAGCCTGTCAGTGTGCGGCCAGAGTTTCTTGTTAAGGGGAAAATTTGGAAAATTGATATTGCTACGAAAACTATGTTACCCTAAAGGGTTTGTTGAAACTGCTTTGCTGGCACCTAGGAAAGTTATAAAAGAATGAAAATTTGAATAACACCCAAATTTAAAAGTGTGCTTTTCCACTACCCTGAGAATTTACTGTCCTGCCGAATACACTAAAAAGATTAAACATACCAGTAGTTTTTAGAATTCGGGGGTGACCTTTAAAAGGGTTTTTATCAAGAAATTTCCCCCCTACGAGAACGTGTAAGGAACCCTTTAGTCAATAAATCGATAAAAAAACCTCAATTACTGGGAAGCTTGTAGTTTCTAAACCTAACTCCCCAGAAAACAGGCAGGAGAGATAATGATCATATTACTTTGGAAAGTCCCGAGAGATTAGTACCCAAAATTTCACGCGAAAATCACTCCCATGAAAACAAAAGACTCGGCGAGATGCGACATCCCCTCAATGAAAAGCGGGTTTCCCTGCAGGATAAGGAAGTAATAAAGTTGGTAGAATTCCGACATTGTTGCACTTGTGTCCCTTTTTCTTTAAGGATAAAAAAACACAATTATGTTAGGGGCCCCGGATGTTCAAGTGTCTCCCGCTACATAAGGGGGATTTCCCAATAGACTCCTGGTGTCTTCAAGAGGCCCGGGCAAGACCCAAAGTCAGTACCTGCCAGCGGGCTTGGTTCGTTTCGTGGTTTGCGTACGGCCAACGTAACAGCCTGGTTATCGGCCCTGATCCCCCATGGGGCCCGGTCACAGATGGGCCCGGGGGGGGTTGTTGGCCCCCCGGGAAACCTCCAGGTTACACTACGTTGATCCGAAATGTAATGACACGATTGAAACAGACCTTCCACGGGGGGATTTGAACCCGCGGTCAAGAGTCTCAAAATCCGACCGTGCTTTTTCCATGGACATAGCCCCAATAAGATTCGTCCAACTAGGTACATTTCTACACCATAGGAAGGTTAGCATAGGCACCACTGTGACCACAAATGCAAGTTTTAAAGACGAATCTCCAGCTAGGGTGACCGTGACGAACTCTAGCTGAAGTCCCCTCAAAGCCGCTAACGCGACGGTCTGGAGTTTTGAGACTCTCTGACCGCGGGTTCAAATCCCGCCCGTGGTATGGTTTATACACTACGTTGACAGTTTTTGTAGGATTGGGAGTAATTGTTGCAACTCCAATTACACTGCATAGACTCACAAACCTCCGAACAGCTCAGGAATCAAATGTGATATTCTACCACACCCAGGTTTCCAACAATCCTGGGAACTGGTTAGAAGCCAGAGTCGTAGTTCCTTGTACCGTGTGGCTGGAAAGAAATATTCTAGATTGGCAATTATATAACACGATAAATGTTCATTATATAATAATATTTTTGGATTATTCAAACTTAACTGATTTATAGATGAGGCCATCATAATAAATTTAAAATAAAATTCCTATATGAATGATTTAAATTCCCTTAAGTGTCGTAGTTCCACACTGAGGAATTAGGGCCTGTTTTCTGCTGTTTCTTGTGTTAGACCAGCGTCTGCTTAAGAAGTGGTGGGATAAACTATAGATGCCTTCCTCTTATTAAACAATCGATGTCTCGCCTTATTTTAAGTGAGTCAGCCATAGGCCCTCCTTAATATTAGAGAATTTTCCTAAGACAATTGCCAGATATATCTATATACAGAATGTAAACTCTTTTATATCATATCGAAGTCTGACCGATTTTTTTTTATATTTTTTGTCACTATTGCTATGTTTTCTAGGTCATTACTACTGTAATGACCTAGAAAACATTGGTCATTTCCCACCAAACCATTGCAACCCACAAAAGAAGAAACACCTATTACCAGACCCTTCTCTATAAAGAGTTCAATCAAGTGTGCCCTACTTTCATTTACACCTGGCACCCCAAACTTACCTACCATAACCTCTCTAACCGTTTCTCTCACTAAAGTATTTAGGTCCCCTACCACAATTACTCTCTCACTTGGTCAAGAGTTCCTCCACACTCGCTTAGCATCTCCCAAAATCTCTCTCTCCTCTACACTCCTCACTTTTCCAGGTACATACACTATGACCCACATTATTACCCACTTTTTGCATCCAACCCTTGTTTTAATCCATATAATCCTTGAAATTATACATTTATATTCCCTCTTCTCATTCCATAACTGATCCTTCAACATTATTGCTGGTAGGTAAGACACATAGGCAACATTTAGGCAACTTTATTCGGTATAAAGTTGCCTATGTGTCTTACCTACCAACCTGTCGGTATTGTATACCATTTTGATACTCAACATTATTGCTACCTCTGTCTTAGCCCTAACTCTCTCAGATGCTCCTGACTTAATCCCATTTATTTCTCCCTGCCGAAACTCACCTACCCCCTTCAGCTTTGTTTCGCTTAAAGCTAGTCATCTAACTTCTTTTCATTCATAACATTAGCAATTGTCTCTTATCATGCACACTACATCCATGCACATTCAAACATCAGTACTCGTACCACACCTCGGGGCCACCTCAAGAACACCTGACTTTTTATGATGATGTAGGTAGTCAAGGATCTGTAAAACACAGCTTATCTTCTTCTTAAAAGTTTAATTTGTCTAATGTATCTTTAATTTTTTCCAAATTTTATCAATTATAAATGAGTACAATTTGTAGAACCCAAAAACAATATTCATATTATTATTAAAACTATTTTTTTTATTAAACTTGATTCTATTACACTGGTCTGCATTTGGAATGTTTTTAATATTTATTTTTATTCATGGTTGCGATCTTACATATTCATGGGCTGCTGACTGTAAATATTTAATCTATTTTGCTCTATCACATAAGAATTTTGAATGAAATACAAATTAATGATAATAAAAAATGTGAATTTTTAATAAATTGTTACTTTATTAAAATTAGGCAAGTAATCATGGAAAAGCTATTTCTGTTAGTTTTAAGAACATATGAATTCCACATCAACATGAATCAAATCAGACGATTTTATTAAAATTAATATACTCCTAATGGTTAGCCAACATATTGAATCAAAGGAAGGACGACCGCTTTGATTTTAACTTGTGCTGTGCATTGAGACCATTATGTTTGAACGACCAGCAGTAATCTGCCATCAGGCCGACATTCCATTTGCCCTGGTAACGAGTTTCCATGGTGCAAATATCTTGTTGGCACTGTTCTCCTTGTTCCTCACTGTAGTCCCCACAATTGTTGGGAAAATGGTTAAGATGTGAGTACAAAATGTGCATCTTCACAAGTTGCTGGAAACTTGAAATCTGGTCTTGGATAATTTTTTTCACATTCCGGGGAGCGCTTGTTTCCCAGAAAGTTGTGGACAATCTGCTGGAATGAAAACCAGACATTCACCTCGACACCTGTTAATGCTTCCTCAAAATGCTTGTCCTTCATCAATTCCCAAATCTGAGGACCAACAAAGATTATTGCCTTTAGCTTGCCTTCATTTATCGGGGAAACTTTGACCCCCGGTACTTGAAACAGTTCCATTCTTGTTCAAACCCTTCACAAAATTTTTCTTTTAAGGCCTAATTTGTGTGGAGTGGGGGGAAAGCAAAATTTTCACGGGGTAAAATAGGGGCACAGTTTTCACTTTTTTCCCGGGTAAGAAGCTGGTTCATGGGGCCGTCTTTTTTTTTTTAGTGCTGACGTCTGCCTACATCCAAAGACCGGTCAATATACCTTATACCACTTTCTCATTTATTACGTTATCAAAAAATAGAAAGTAACTTTTTCGTATAACTAGACAAATGATGTGAAGGATGAATAAAAAACACAATAAATCACTTTTTCCAAAATTTTATATACCAAAAAAAAGATCCCTAAGTCAAAAAAAATATGCAGAGCAGTGTTATATTCCTCTCGCCCATCGCCTAGTGATACAACTCTCTCACCTTCGGGAAAAATAATTGGATGGTTAAAAATCTCTCTCATGAATAAACAGAGCATTAGAACCTTGTCCTTTTCAAAATGCAAATTTTATTTTTTTTTTGCCCTGTTAAAGATTTTCCAGTTTACCTTAAAAAAATTTATCACATATTTTAAAAGGAATCTTTTGGACACAACTGTCAGTTTTGGGGTTTTTTATATTTTTTTTTACTATATCAGTTTTTAAAAATAGGATTTTTTATTTTTAAAATTCTTGTGTAAAGAAGAATATGAACCCAAGTGTTCATTGAAAGGGGAAGAAATTTTTTTAGTTGAAAAAGATGGTTTCCCTTTTAAATGTATAAACTATTTCTAATAATTTTAGAAGTTTATCTTAAGTTTCTTGTGTATTTAGGTCTTGGCTGTTTCAAAAATTTTTGGAGATTTTTTTATTTATTAACTCTCACTAAAGATCTAAAATACCCAAGAAACTTAGTGAAAAATTTTTTTAACATTGCTAAAAATACTCTTACAATTAAAAAAAGGGTAGCTAATCTTTTTCAATTAAAAATATTTTGTCCCCCTTCCAGGGAAAATTGGTTAATATGCCTTTTTACTTAAAATTTAATATCAAAGTTGTATTTAGAAATTGATTAGTAGAAAAAACTTTTGAAAAAAAATTCCCCCCAAAAAGTTAAGGGTTTTTGTAAATTTTTTTTCTATTTTCTTTTTTCTTTTCTTCTTCTTCTTCTTTTCTTCCCCTCTTCTTCTTCTCTTCTTTTCTTCTTCTTCTTCTTCTTCTTCTTCTTCTTTTTTTTTCTTTTTTTTTTTTTTCTTCTTTTTTCTTCTTTTCTTCTTCTTTTTCTTCTTCTTTTCTTCTTATTTTTAAATTTTTTTTTATTTTTTTTTTTATTGAGTAAATCACTTGAAAGGGCTTACAGGGCCTTTCCCTGAATTATTCCCGTATTTAAATTTTGGGGTGTGGTAAGTGGGACTTGTACGTGGTGCTGAACTGTAACTTCCTCAAATGCTCTTTTCATCACTCTACAAAAAAGCTAGCCCTGAATTAAATTAAAAATTTTTTATTTTTAAAACCAGTACTCTGGTAATTAAATTATGTGGATGTATAGGATTGGGCTTGTTTTGGTCCCAAAAAATAATTGTTTTAACCTTCCCTTTAAATTTCGGGGAAGACAATGCTGATAAAAACCCCCTAACACTACCCTAGCAGATAGAATTTACGGAAACCCAAAATGCAAATACACTGTATTTTTGGGGAAACCCATCATTTAGCTGAGGGTGTTGTTGTGGGGATTCTTAAATTTCTTATTTTTCCATCCCCCACATGAATTCTTAAGGTCTCCAATTTCCTGCCCAAATTTCTTCAGCGGAACATGTCAAATTTCTAATTAAAATTTTGAGGCCGATATACACCGATTTGGCCTGGAGAATGCCCAATTATATCACACAATGGAGTCCAGTGTTCACACATTAAATTTAATATGGCTCCCTTTTCTGATCATTTCAAGCTCTTCCACATCCCCTTTTATTAAAAATTTTTGAAGGGTCCAAAAAAACTACAACATTACGAAATTTTTTAATTATTATTTTGTTCTACATTTTTGAAATTTGTAAAAAATTCCCTAGACGGCTTTGTCTTATATTTCAATGAAAACCCCTGTCAGGAGCTTGCAGTGTTGCAGGAATGTGTATAAAATCCCAAAAAAACCATTTAGAGCGAAAATTTTTTTCTTGAAGGGGAGGAGGGGAAACAGAGAAAGAGCAGGCGTGCCCTTTGTCCGTGCCCGGGGCCCGAAGGTTGATATTTTTTAATGACTTATAAGACGCCATCTCAAAGCATGATACGTTTTGGAAAACCCCCATGAGGTTCATTAAAGGATGACAGTCATCAAAAATTCCTCATTTTGATATGGTAAAAGCCTTAAATTCTAAAAATTTTATTGGCAACTGAATATTTTTATACCTTAGAAAATGGTTCACGGGGACCCCATATAAAGGGGGGCTCAAATTAAAAAGGGGAGACATGGCTGCCTCCGTAGCTTACATAGGTTTGGCAGCCATACTTTGGATATATTTTTTTCCCCCAAAGGGTTTTTAGGGAGATTTTATCTGTCAAAACCCTCAGACGACCCTTTTCCCCCTGTGTGCTATATTTATAAATCCCTTTTTTTAAATAGGATATAGTCTCCACTATGAACGAATTAATTTTAAAAGCCCCCAATATTATTATTTAAGAAAATTTTTTAGTTTTATGATGACTGATTTTAATTTTTTTCATCCAAACCAAAAGGGAAAAAGGAAAAATGAATTTACAAAGGGGGGTGATGCACACGGACAAGAAAAAAAGTCGACAATAAAAATAAAAATTGAAAAATAAAGAAAAAAGTTTTGGGTTTTCAGAAAAATTATTTTTTTCTGGGAACATTTTTGGGATAATTTTACTGTTGTACGATGTTTTACAAAAGAATTATGTCATTTAAAATTTATGGTACCCCCCGCTATGCATTACACGTGCTGCATAATTGTGACATGCTCCCAGAAGTCGTTCTGTGAACTAAAATGTTTTGTAATTATGCTAATATAATAAAAAAAAATTAATAATAATAATAAAAATAATAATATTAAAATTAATAATAATAATAAAGTGGAAAATTAAATTTACCTGGATGTAAACATCAGATACATCCGTAAATGGTAAAAAAGATAATTTTTTTTTTCAAAGTTACGAGACAAGTAGGAAAATTTTTGGACTAGGTCGCAAAAAAAAGTCCCCCTTCGTACTATATAATATAATCTCCCCAAATGGCTCAGACCTATATAATTGCAAATGAAATGTACACCAGGGAAATTTTGGTTAAAAATTTTAATTTTTTGGACTGTATATTAAAATTAAAAAAGATTTCATATAACATTTATTAACAGAAGGAGAATTTAAATCATAACATCACCAATTTGTCGGGGATTACTGTGTGTCATGTACAGAACCCCCTCTCTACCCAAAAATTTTTAGTTTAAAATGGCCAGAATTACAAAACATAATTTAGATAGTTTATCTGAGGTTCCTGGAGCTGTCCTGTCCATCTGCTTAATGCTCAGATTATGCAGGACTGCACATCCAACAATTTTGGCTCCTATTTGAGAGGTTTTATGCCCAATATAACCCCTAGAGCATCGAAAATTTAAAAACATTACATTAACGTGCTTTTATCACATTAAAAAGACAATGGCAACTCTTCCCCCTGCCCCCGTCAGTGCAGGCGCAGAGCTTCCCTGTTGATTCTCTTATTTAAAATGCACTCAACAGAACAATAGTAACGTATTAATCAGGTTTATTTACACAGCATAATTTTTTCGGAAATTATTTTCCACAATAATAATAATAATAATAATAATAATAATAATAATAATAATAATAATAATAATAATAATAATAATAATACCTTTATTTCTACAGGTACATGTACAAGGTATACAGGCCTAGCTGACATCGCTGACATACTACTATATAGAAAGCCGCTTGTTATGTAGAGCATTTCGGGCAAATTAGGTCAGTTTTGTCCCAGGATGCAACCCACACCAGTTGACTAACACCCAGGTACCCATTTTATATGGATGGGCAAACAGGGACAGCAGGTGTCTATGGAAACACGTCCCTAATGTTTTCCAACCGTACTGGAGATTCGAACTCTGGACCTCAGTGTGAGAATTGAATGCGCTGGTGATCAAGCTACGGGACACGAGTTTATTTACCTATCACAATTAATCTAAGATGTAAATAGGACAGAAGCATAATAAATAGTCCAGAATTAATAAAAAAATAATACGTTGGTCTGGGAGTAGTCGGGCAGAGGGATGTTTTTACCACTTGACCATAAGACATTATATAACGTTCTCTCTTGTTCCTCTGGGTCCTGTATCATTAGAGAAAACGCAGCGTAACAAGGGCTAACTGATTTTTTCTCGTTTTTGGTTTCCAAGTGATCAGCTATGCTCGCGTTTTCTCTGAATATCTCGGAAGTAAGTTATTGACTTATTTCTCACTATATTACCGTTAATAACGAACGGATTGAAAGGATTTTCATAAATAATGTACAACAGTGAATATTTTACAAGCTGGCAATCAGATGACTCACGAAATCGTAATGACACGATTGCAAACAAATCAGATTTTTTAAATATTCCAAATATTTTTTTTATTTGTGGGGGGCAAAAGGCCAATATTTTGCTAAATGTCAAAGACTTGCCAACTATTTTTTTTTTGGGGGGGGGGACAAAGGTAAGGCAGAATATTGTAGCACTAATTGAATTTCAAAGTTAGGAACAGAGTACAGAGGATCATAAAAGGATAAAGGCAAGATACTATTGCTCAAAAATCAAAGAGTACAAGAATAACCCCAGAAAGCTCTTGCAAAAAGTAAAACAGCTGGACCTATATACCAAGCACTGGTACGGAGGTGGCAGGGTAGGAAATTAGGGCCTCCACCATAATAGACAAAGGCTTGACCCACAGGCAGACTGATTGCACTCACTACACAGAGGGGAAGATCCCTGTCGTTCAGCTTGCGGCATTGAAACTTTTTCCTGCCGAGAAGCAGAACCATTTAAATTGAATTTTACGAAGTGTTAAACGAAAATATGTTGCAATTTAACAATAGAGCAATGGAGAAAACGTTTTAAAGGGAACTATTTTAATCGATCTACTGTAAATATGTGCATGTGTGTGTGTGTGTGAAATAAGATCATATGCAGTGGCCCCTCGTTTGTCGGCCGTAATCCGTTCCAGAAGGTCGGCCTAAATCCGAAAAAGCCGAAAATGAAATAATATTTCCCATAAGAATGAATGTAAATACAATTATTTTGTTCCAGACACCCAAAAATATTAACAAAAGGTATCAAAAGGTATGAAATGTATCAAAGGTATCAAAGCATATGAAAGATATCAAAGCCCTCTCTGGGGTTACTTCCCTTCTTTTTCTATTGCTGCCACTAGGACCAGGTTGAGAATCTCTGCACCCCTGTCGCAAAAAAAAAAAAAAAAAAATTGTCCAGGAAGGTCTGTTTCTGGCGTCTCTTTAAGATTTGCCCGAAGTGGGACAAGAGTTTGTCACTGAAGATGTTGCAGATATGGCTTGTTTCAGCTTGGTCAGGGTGATATTTCTCTACAAAACTTTGCAACTCACTCCACTTTGCACACACGTCCTTAATCACTGAAGAAAGCACATTCTTCCCTCTCTCTTCCACTTTCTCTGAACCAATTTCCTCAGCTGTGATTTGTTACTGTTCCAGATAAAGGTCTTGCAGCTCTTTATTGGTTAGCTCTTCCCTGATGCCCTCCACCAACTCTTCTGCATCCTGGCCACTCACATCAATCCCATGGACACAATAAATTCCACAGCAGGCATAGGGTCGTCAGAGTCAGCCTCAAACCCTTCAAAATCCTTGTTGAGGACACATTCTGGCCACAGTTTTCTCCAAGCAGAGCTCAAAGTCCTGGAAGTCACTCCCTGCCAAGCCTTACCTATAAGGCTTATGCATTGAAGGATACTGAAGTGATTCCTCCAGAACTCTCTTAGGATCAAGTAAGTGTCCAAGGTCACTTCAATGCACCTTTGAAACATTGGTTTCGTGTAAAGTTTTTTGAAGTTTGAAATGATTTGCTTGTCCATGGGCTGGATCAGAGGAATGGTATTAGGAGGCAAGAACTTTACTGTTATAAAACTGAAGTCCCTAAACAAATGGTCTTCCAAGTATGGAGGATGAGCAGGAGTATTGTCCAGTACCAGGAGGCACTTGAGTGGCAATTTATTTTCCTGGCAGAATTTTTTCACACTTGGGCCAAACACTTCATGGACCCAGTCAATGAAAATTTTCCTTGTGACCCATGCCTTATTATTAGCTTTCCACATCACACACAATTTACTCTTCACGACACTGTTTTTCTTAAACACTCTGGGATTTTCAGAGTGATACACTAGTAAAGGCTTCACTTTGAAATCCCCACTAACGTTACCACAGAAGAAAAGAGTTAGCCTATCCTTCATAGGCTTGTGTTCTGGTAGTGCCTTTTCCTCCTGTGCGATGTAGGTCCTCTTTGGCATTTTCTTCCAAAAAAGGCCTGTTCCGTCACAACTGAACACTTGTTGGGGGAGGAATCCATCAGCCACTACATATTCCTTAAATTCATGCACGAATTCTTCAGCTGCACGCTTGTCTGAACTTGCAGCCTCACAATGTGCTCTGGAAAACGTACAGAGGAGGATGACGAAGATGATCCCAGGTATCAGAAATCTTCCCTATGAGGATAGACTGAGGGCCCTGAATCTGCACTCTCTAGAAAGGCGTAGAATTAGGGGGGATATGACTGAGGTGTATAAATGGAAAACAGGAATAAATAAAGAGGATGTAAATAGCGTGCTGAAAATTTTCAGCCAAAACAGGACTCGCAGCAATGGTTTCAAGCTGGAAAAATTCAGATTCAGAAAGGATATAGGAAAGCACTGGTTTGGTAATAGAGTTGTGGATGAGTGGAACAAACTCCCGAGTACAGTTATTGAGGCTAAAACGTTGTGTAGTTTTAAAAATAGGTTAGACAAATACATGAGTGGGTGTGGGTAGGTGTGAGTTGGACCTGACTAGCTTGTGCTGCTGGATCTGGTGCAGTGCTCCATCCTTGAGTGGGGATGATCAGACTGGGTGGGTCATTGGTCTAATCCGGGGGGGACATGGACCTGCTCCGCATCGGTCAGTAGGCCTGTTGCAGTGTTCCTTTTTTCTTACTTTAACACTGTGTATGCCACTATGCTTCTTAAATCTCTCAAACCAGATTTTGCTAGCCCTAAATTCACTAAGAGCAGCACTCATTCCAAGCATTTTATCGACTCCACAACACTATTTTCTGCTAATTGTTTATCATTGATCCACACAAACAATAACTTCTCCATAACTTAGATTATTGGTGACCTTTGTTTTGTTAGCATATTTACCCCTTTTGCAACATTAGCTTCCTTGATTTCTACTTTCTTTGCCAGGATGGAAGTAATTGTTGATTTTGATTTCCCATACATCCTGGCAAGCTGGAACACACATGCACCACTCTCATACTTTGCTAAAATTTCTTTTTTGATTTCCAACATGTTTCTCACTTTCTTTACCAAAGGAAATTTACTAGGAACTTTCTTTGGACTCACGGTGGCTTATTTCGCAGTTGCTCTCAATAAACACTCAGAAAAACAATGGATTATAACAAAATATTTTGGTGAATGTGCGGAGTTTTCCCCATTCTCTGAGAGACACAGCCAAATTGACTCACGAATGCGGCGGAGTGACGGAATGGATGTGTCCAATACGGCCAATTTCCGAGATAACGGGAGAAATCCGAGATAGAATTTCGGCCAAAAAAAGCGGCCAAAATCAGAATTGGCCAATATCTGGAACAGCCAATAACCGAGGGTCCACCGTATATCATATATGATCATAAATATTTCTCATTAACATCCATTATATACAGTGCATAATAAAATCGTTAATTTTATTTAAATTACACTTTGCAGTCACAATTATAGAAGTGTCTTGGTCATAGAGGTGAATGAAAACATAAGAGTGAAGTGTCTTCAATCATTAACTCTAACCAAAGACAGCATTCTATCTGCATATAACTAACACGTCAAGCGAATGCTTCTCTTTCATTATGTGATCTTAATAAAATATTTACTATCAACAGTTCTTACTGCAGGTACTAGTAATAATATAAGGATAAACCAAGAAAAATTTATTAAGAATAAGAAAAAGGTGAAAAAAGGAAGTGAACAAAAAAATTAACACTGAAAATAATAAAAAAAATTCCTTTGGTCCATTAAAACTAGAGAAGATAATAAAACATTACAGGTGAGAAGATTAAGAAAATAACACGAAAACTCACCTGGGAATTGCGTAATGCATATTGATGACAGAGTACACCATTTGACTGAATATATTCTTAATCCTGTCAGTGAAGGTAAGAGGGTATCCTAGGTCCAATAGGTAATTGCCCACCATGGAAGGGAACTGTGGGTTGCCTGCTAAGTCACTCATGGATTCATGCAGCGTGTTTGGAGTCATGTGAATATAGGGAACCTGGAAAATGTATTAACAAATTGGTGACTGTGATGAACGATTGATAGACATCTTTTCTAAAGTGGTACTTATAATCTTAGGGATCCTCGTGTCTGATTTGTAATGCAAATGTATTTAAATTAATATCTCAATTCTTTCCTATAATTCAGCTTAAATCACTTTCTTGAACGGACAGCGTGGATTTTTATATGTCTGCACGTTGAGTAGAAACTGCACAAACTTAATAAACCAATATATACATGTATATATATAAATATATATATATATATATATATATAATATATATATATATATATATATATTATATATATATTGTGTGTGTGTGTGTGTTGTGTGTGTGTGTGTGTGTGTGTGTGTGTGTGTGTGTGTGTGTGTGTGTGTGTGTGTGTATGTGTGTGTGTGTGTGTGTGTGGTGCCGAATAGGTAAAACTTGCGATTTTGTCTTTAATAGCAATGCTTTTCTTGTATATATATATATATATATATATAATATATATATATATATATATATATATATATATATATATATTATATATATATATATATATATATATATATATATCTTTATGAAGGATGAGGTTAATCATAGAATTGATGAGGGAAAAAAGGTGAGTGGTGCATTGAGGTATATGTGGATACAAAAAACGTTTTATATGGAGGCAAAGAAGGGAATGTATGAAAGTATAGTGGTACCAACACTCTTATATGGATGTGAAGCTTGGGTGGTAAATGCAGCAGCGAGGAGACGGTTGAAGGCAGTGGAGATGTCCTGTCTAAGGGCAATGTGTGGTGTAAATATCATGCAGAAAAATCGGAGTGTGGAAATTAGGAGAAGGTGTGGAGTTAATAAAAGTATTAGTCAGAGGGCTGATGAGGGGTTGTTGAGGTGGTTTGGTCATTTAGAGAGAATGGATCAAAGTAGAATGACATGGAGAGCATATAAATCTGTAGGGTAAGGAAGGCGGGGTAGGGGTTGTCCTCGAAAAGGTTGGAGGGAGGGGGTAAAGGAGGTTTTGTGGGCGAGGGACTTGGACTTACAGCAAGCGTGCGTGAGCGTGTTAGATAGGAGTGAATGGAGACGAATCGTATTTGTGACCTGACGATCTGTTGAGAGTGTGAGCAGGGTAATATTTAGTGAAGGGATTCAGGGAAATTGGTTATTTTTATATAGCCGGACTTGAGTCCTGGAAATGGGAAGTACAATGCATGCACTCTAAAGGAGGGGTTCGGGATATTAGCAGTTTGGAGGGATATGTTGTGTATCTTTATACGTATATGCTTCTAAACTGTTGTGTTCTGGGCACTTCTGCAAAGACAGTGATTGTGTGTGAGTGAGATGAAAGTGTTGAATGATGATGAAAGTATTTTCTTTTTAGGGATTTTCTTTCTTTTTTGGGTCACCCTCCCTTTGTGGGAGATGGCCGACTTATTATATATATATATATATATATATATATATATATATATATATATATATATATATATATATATATATATATATATATATATATATATATATATATATCTTACCATCCAATTGATTTTCAAAAAGTTGAGAAAGTAGTATCAAGCAAGTCCATGGTCGACAGGAATATAATTGAATCTTGTTTCATAAAAAGCAGTTTTGACAATAATATGAATATTTCCTTTGGTTTATATAAATTAGATCCATTTATAATTAATAGAATTTGGGAAGAATTTAATAATACACTGGGCAAATAATAATTTTAAAAATTTTCTTGGGTAGAATAGTTTGTTGGTGGGTTGTGCAAAGGACCTGTCCAGTTGGGCTGGCGCGTGTCAGGTGTTTAACCGTTGTGGGATCTGATAGTGAGGTGTTGGCCAGACCCCTTATATACCTTCCTTGGATGCTTTACTTTCATAGTTCCTTGATAATGTGAGTAGTCACGAAAGCGCTTGGAATTTCTCTATTCTTTCAGAGTGGTTGTTTTGCATATTCTGAAATCACCTGTTTACTGTGATCTTATTGCATATATATATATATATATATATATAATATATATATATATATATTATATATATATAATTATATATATATATATATTTATTATATATATATATATAAATGTAATGAATGAAAGTGCAACCCCGAAGGTTTTGTCATGTATTTGGAGGTGTTCCTGTCTTGTAATGACCAGATTCTTGAGTCATATGTTTTTAATGGTATATGTAATTGGTTACGTTTATTATCGGTTATGAGGTCATGATATGTGTTTGATTTTTGTGGAATAAAATATTTTTATATACTGTTTTGTTTGTGTACGTGTATGCATATGCACGGGTTTTCTTTTTTGTGAAATCAGGTTTTTCTTTTGTGTTACTCTTTATATATCGTTCTGAGCCTTTGTTAAATGTTAGGCTCCAGTACATTCCTAATATGGGTATGTTAATGTTGTTTTAAAGTTATATATGACAGGTTAGTACTCTGTTACTGGTAGTTGTTTTGAGACGTTTTGTTGTAAGATTTTGCTTTATGTATTACCATTTTTCAGAGAAGTTATAGAGCCATTGGTTCTAAGAATTTTATGTTTTCTTTTTATGTATATTTATATTCTGGAATTATGTACTGCTGTACTGTTTTTAAATAAAATTTAAAAGAAAATGTACTTTCCATCGAAATGTAAAGACCATTCTTCCAATTGTAATTTTTCAATCATTTCCTCCGTCAATATAGCAGCCTCTTTGTATGTTGACTTGTAAATTGCTGCTTGACTTGGTGTACGAATGTCAATGTCATCAAATGAAAACTATTTATAATTAATTCTGAATTTCTGAAACAGATATAAACTGCAATAAGTTGATTTGTTTGCTCATAAAGCTTTTTATATATACAAGGATTTGTATTGTTCTACAAACTTCTATACCGTTTCAGAAATTTTTTAAAACCCACACTGTTAGGCTATACCTATCAGTCAGCGGTGCTGACTGATAGGTATAGCCTTGTATAGGTATAGCCTTGTATAGGTATAGCCTTGTATAGGTATAGCTTGTATCAGTCAGCACCGCTGACTGATACAAGCCTCTGTCAAATACAATGAGAAAATAATAACAACAATACTAGACGCCAGTATATAAAGTTGCCAATGAGTAATTTTCTGAGTTGCTGCTTATATATATAATATATGTATATATATATATATATATATATATATATATTTATATATATATATATATATATATATATATATATATATTATATATATATATATATATATATATGTCGTGCCGAATAGGCAGAACTTGCGATCTTGGCTTAATTAGCAACGCTCATCTTGCCATATAGGACAAGTGAAAATTTGTGTATGCAATAATTTCGCCAAAATCATTCTGACCCTAACGAAAAAAATATATTTCACTGTGTTTGTTTAGTATTAAATTATTGTAAACAAATCTAAAATATATTTAGTTGGGTTAGGCTAAAATAAATTGTTCTTGTTATAATAAGGTTAGGTAAGTTTTCTAAGATTCTTTTGGAGAAAATTAAAAATTTTTACATTAACATTAATGTAAAAAATATATCTTTAAACGTATAAGAGAAATTTTTAGAAAGGACTTAATTTTAAATGAGTTCTTGCTAATTGACCAGTTTTACATATTCGGCACGACATATATATATATATATATATATATATATTATATATATATATATATATATATATATGTATTATATGTCGTGCCGAATAGGCAGAACTTGCGATCTTGGCTTAAATAGCAACGCTCTTCTTGTCATATTGGACAAGTAAAAATTTGTGTATGCAATAATTTCGCCAAAATCATTCTGAACCTAACGAAAAAAATATATTTCATTGTGTTTGTTTAGTATTAAATTACTGTAAACAAATCTAAAATATATTTAGTTGGGTTAGGCTAAAATAAATTGTTCTTGTTATAATAAGGTTAGGTAAGTTTTCTAAGATTCTTTTGGAGCAAAATTAAAATTTTTTACATTAACATTAATGAAAAGAATATATCTTTAAACGTATAAGAGAAAATTTTAGAAAGGACTTAATTTTAAATGAGTTCTTGATAATTGACCAGTTTTACATATTCGGAAGGACATATATATATACATATATATATATATATATTATATATATATATATATATATATATATATATATATATATATATATATATATATATATATATATATATATATATATATGTCGTGCCGAATATGTAAAACTGGTCAATTAGCAAGAACTCATTTAAAATTAAGTCCTTCGAAATTTTCCCTTATACGTTTAAAGATATATTTTTTTCATTAATGTTAATGTAAAAATTTTTAATTTTGCACCAAAAGAATCTTAGAAAACTTACCTAACCTTATTATAAGAAGCTCAATTTATTTTAGCCTAACCCAACTAAATATATTTTAGATTTGTTTACAGTAATTTAATTCTAAACAAACACAATGAAATATATTTTTTCGTTAGGTTCAGAATGACTTTGGCGGAATTATTGCATACACAAATTTTCACTTGTCCTATATAGCAAGATGAGCGTTGCTATTTAAGCCAAGATGGCAAGTTCTGCCTATTCGGCACGACAAAATACATATCTATATATATATATATATATATATATATATATATATATATATATATATATATATATATATATATATATATATATATATATAATATATATATGTACATATCTATATATATATATATATATATATATATATATATATATATATATATATATATATATATATATATATATATTTTTATATTTTATATATATATATATATATATAGAAACCACGAAACAAGTGATATTAATTCATTTACCAAACTGCGGCAGGTCAGGACTCGACGCTACGAACGTTATACTGCCTCTAGAAACAACACAACATACGTGTCACCTTGACCAGCGCTACACGTAGCTGTGCTGCATTCGTGATGTTTGTAGGAACGGTGGGTGAGTGGTCAAGGTGACGAGTATGTTGTATTGTCTCTTGAGGTGGTACATCA